TAACAACAGTAATTTAAATTTGTACATTATTTTATATCAATATACATTTCCCATGGAGATAACATCTAAACTATAGTAATCTTACAACAGAGTGAAAGATTCAAATAAGAAAAAGTTTGGGATATTCAATACTGGTGAGGTTCACCTGGAGTAGTACTGAGGTTTCACTTAGTTCGGAAGAAAGAAACACACGGATAAATTGGAAAGAGTCCTGCAGACAGCAATAAAAATTAAAAGAAATCTAGAAAACAGGATTGAACAGGAAAAATGGAAGAACTGGGATTATTTAGTTTGGAAAAGCAAACACTATGTATTTGATAACAGTCATCAAATGTATAAAAGATTGCTACAGAGAGGATGTTGATAGATCAGGGCCAGGCAAAAATATGGCCTACGGGCTGGGTCCAGCCCACCAGGCACTTTCATCCAGCCTGCTGCATCCATGAAGGAATTCTGCCCCTCCCAGGCCTTCTGCCCACGAGGGTGGGAGCAAGGCGCCCATGCATACATGCACCCCTCAACATACTCTATTGTGCTTTGTTCCCACCCCTGTGGGCGGGAGGGCTCAGCCCCACCAGCATGCAGCTTCTGGGCAGGGCAGCTGCTGCCCCTGCTGTAGCCACCCCCGTGGGAACCTGCTTGGCTTCCCAGACATCCAGCTTGCTCCAGGCAGCAGGTAGGGAAGCAGCAGGGGTGGTGGCCAGGGTGGGGCAGTGGAGCTGCAGCTGGACAGAAGAACGGAGAGCAGTGCAGAGCCCATGCCGAGGGGAGTGGTGAGAGCACAGAGCTTGGCTGGGCAGGGTGTGGGTGTGAGGGAGGGTGGAGGGTATGGGGACCCCACAGACTCCTCCACATGGCGCACAGCCCCCACTGCCAGCAGCAAGAGCAGGCAGTGGGCACTCAGGGTGTTAGTGCCTGGCGTAGACACTGGCATCCAGTGGGGTGTGGCTCTGGCCAGTGCTGCATGCGGAGGCGAGGAGCGCTGCCTGCCCAGCCTGGCTCTATTGTGGGGGCTTCGAGCCGCGCACCTGCAGCTCCCACACTCGTACTCAGGGAAGTCCCATGCTGGAGCCAGCTATGTTCCCCTCCCCCTGCCGTGCAGGTCCCTGGGCTCTGCCAGGAGTGGAGGGAGCCCTGCCTCCTGCTTCCCTGTGGAGTCTAGAATGGGGCTCCACTTGGTGCAAGTGTGGGAGCTGCAGGCACACCATGTGGAGCCCCTGCGATAGAGGTGGGCCGGGCAGGCTGCTTTCCTCACCGCCATGCCACAGCGCTGGCTGGAACCACGCCCTGCTCAGCACCAGCACCTGCGCCAGGCTGAGGCCCCTGACCCTCTCCCCCCACCCCGTCTGCTGCTGCTACCAGCAGCAGGGGCTGCGTGCCATGTGGGGAAGTGTGTGGGGGATCTACACCCCCCCATAAACCTCACACAGCCACACCCTTCTCCCACAACCCCCACTGACATACACACACCCCCTGACATGCCATTCCACATAGCCACACCCGCTCACAACCCCCCACACATGCACCCCACCCCACCACCATACATACCCCCCAATATACAAAAGTAAGACTATTTTTAGTTATGCAATCACCTCTACATACACTACTCAAACACAAATCATGACAATTTTTTTTTGTAATAAAATTAAAATGTGTTATAGTAGGTGTTTGACTTTTAGTGTATGATTTGTTTTTTTTCTGGTTCTAAGATGGCAAATCCTGCCCCTCACCCCCTCCCAAAAGGAGCATTGTGGGGGTCCACTCCTCCTTCACAATGAAGTCATTTCACAGCACCCTTGCTTTGTTGACTATTCCCCTCAGCCTGATCCTGAGGAGAGAGCAATCTTAACAGAAGGGGTAAAAGTCTTTAGCTGTAATCACTTAGTCCCATGTCTTTAAAAGTTCCACCACACATCTCCATAATACAGCAGGACTCTACATAGACTTTGATCAGTTGTGAAACAACTTGTGACAGTTTTGTATAGGAACAGCAACCAAGGACTCCCCCTCCCCAGTGAGTACCCTAATCTCTAGACTGTAGAATCATGCTTCATCTTGCTTTCTCTCTCTTTGGATCAATACATCTTGAAGCCTCTTCTGCCCATTGGCACAGCTTCTACATGAGAGCTTGAGAGTACATTCCACCTACTTTAACATATAGCCTGGTGTTTGGGGCACTCTTTGGGGAGATGAAAAATGTAAATTTGAACCCCATCAGGCTGAGAAAAGAATTGAACAACTGCATGGTGCATCGCTCTCAGTGAATAGTCATCATGGGAGACTTCAATTACCCGGATATCTCGTGGGAAGAGCACTCGGCCACATCCGAACAGTCACAAAGCTTCTTCACACACATGGACGAGCTCTACCTGACTCAAGAAGTCCACAGACTGACAACAGGTAAAGCACTACTGGACCTGGTACTGGCCAAAAGGGATGATCTAGTCAGTGACCTAAGAATTGAAGGAAAGCTGGGAGACAGTGACCATAAGCTGATCACTTTTACTATCCTTTGCAAAGCTGGCAAGTCAGTCAGCAATGCAGAAGTCCTCCACTTTAGGAAAGATGACTTTGATAAACTCAGGAGGCTTGTTGTTGAGGCCCTAAGGGGCCATGACTGGACAGGGAGAGGAGTCCTAGATGAGTGGTTGCTCCTTAAGGGAGCGATCCTGAAAGCACAAGGGATGTCTATCCCACCTTGGAGGAAAGGTAGAAAAAAGGCACATCAACCCCCTTGGCTCAGCAGGGAACTCATAGACCTCCTACATCTAAAAAGAGAGGCTTATAAAGGATGGAAGATAGGAAGAACCAGTAAGGAGGAGTATTCTGCACTGGTCCGTACCTGTAGAGAGTGAACCAGGAAAGCCAAGGCTGCAACCAAACTCCAACTGGCTACATGTATCAAAGACAATAAAAAGCCCTTTTTCAGATGTGGGGAGTCAAAAGAAAAGCAAGGGTAACAATGGGCCCCTGCTAAACCAAATAGGACAGCTGACAACCAACACCTAGGAAAAAGCCAACCTCCTTAATTGGTACTTTGTGTTGGTTTTTAACCAGCCCAATGGGACTGCCCTACCTAACATGATGTGGGATGGCCAGGGTGAGGGTAAATTTATACCCAACATCTGTGTAGACCTTGTAAAGGAAAATCTTGAGAGGCTGGACACCTTTGAGTCAGCTGGTCCTGACAGACTGCACCCCAGAGTACTTAAGAAGCTGGTAGGCATCATAGCCCAGCCACTGGCAAGGATATTGGAGAATTCATGGTGCTCAGGTGAAGTACCCGAAGATTGGAAGAAGGCCAGTGTGGTGCCTATCTTCAGGAAGGGAGGAAAGTAGATCTGGGGAACTACAGGCCAATCAGCTTGACCTCAAATCCCTGGAAAGATTTTGGAAAAAATTATCAAAGAGACCATTTCTTGACAAGCTGGCTGATGGCAACATACTGAGGGATAGCCAGCACAGGTTCATTGTGAGTAGGTCTTGCCTGACCAATCTAATTTCCTTCTATGACCAGGTGACATATCACCTGGACAAGGAAGAAGAGATTGACATCATATATCTGGACTTTAAAAAAGCCTTTGATCTGGTCTCATGATCGCCTCATGCAAAAATTGGCCAACTGCAGCCTCCGCTACATCACAGTCCAATTGCTGGGGAACTGGCTCCGAGTCCAGACCCAGAGAGTGGTGGTCAATGGAAGCGAATCATCATGGCACTCTGTGAGCAGTGGTGTCCCTCAAGGCTCCATCCTTGGACCTGCACTCTTTAACATCTTTATTAACAATGTGGACACTGATGTCATAAGAGGACTGGCCAAGTTTGCCAATGACACCAAACTTTGGGGTAGAGCATCCATACCCAAGGATAGGCTAGTGATCCAGGATGTCCCTGATAGGCTTAGAAAGTGGACAGATAAAAACCTGATGACATTCAATATGGAAATATGCAAGGTACTCCACCTCGGGTAAAAAAAACCACGCATCACGCTTATAGACTTGGCAGCACTACGCACACTAGCATCACGGCCAAAAGGGATTTGGGGGTCATGATTGACCGGAAGATGAGCATGAGCCACCAATGCAGCATTGCAGCTGGTAAAGCAAACAAAACTAGCTTGCATCTATAGATACTTGCTTCTCAAGTAAATCGCAGGATGTCATCCTCCCACTGGACTCAGCCTTGGTGAGGCTGCAGCTGGAGTACTGCATCCAATTCTGGGCTCCACAATTCAAGAAGGATATGGAGAAGCTTAAGACAGTCCAAAGGAAAGCAACATACATGATCAGAGGGCAAGAGAACAGGCCTTTTGAAGAGAGGCACGGGACTCTTCAGCCTGGAAAAGCACAGGCTCAGGGGTGACCTGGTGGCAGCCTATAAGTATATAAAGCATATGCATCAGAATCTGAGGGAACACCTGTTCACCAGAGTGCCCCAAGGGATAACAAGGTCCAACAGTCACAAACTCCTCCAAGACCATTTTAGGCTGGACACAAGGAAAAACTTCTTTACTGTCTGAGCCTCTCAAGGCCTGGAATAGACTCCCTCCAGAGGTGGGTAAGCATCAAGTCTGGACTCTTTTAAAAAGCATCTAGATGCTTATCTTGCTGGGATCCTTTGACCCTAGCTGACTTCCTGCCCCTGGGGCAGGGGGCTGGACTCAATCTTCCGAGGTCCCTTCAAGCTTAATGTCTATGAAATCTACGAACCCAGCTCTCCTACTTCCTAAACAAGCACTGTGACAAGAACATTACAGAAAAGGCGGGTAGTGTCATCATTACCTTCCCCTCTCCCACCTTTTTTTAAAAACAAAGTGGTCCCAACTCCATCTGTAGGGGGCCCAATCCTGTAAGCATGTGGTAAGTGACTTCTGAGCAAGCCTGCCAGTTCAGGGTCCTTAGGAAAATTTAGGCAGAAAATCCATTTCCAAATCCCAATTGGGCTTCTACAAAAGCCAGATCCTGAGGTGGCTCAAGTCCTTTACTGGCTCTAGTACTTACCTATGTCAAGGACTCTCTGTTTAGCTGTGTGCTGCCGTGAATGCCAGTATTTCCAGTACTTCAGCTGTTCGTCTCTGTTTTTATCTTCACTGAATACGACCATGACCACACTCTACAGAAAAGGGAAAGTAGAGAATACAATACTGGCTATACCTCAAGTTTAATTAATTCTAAGATATCCATGTACTAGAAAAACCATGAACTTCTATAGAGCACAGTAGCACCTGCCCTGGAAGAGAACAATGTTCACTGTTTTGTTGTCTAGCTCTACAAGTGAGATGCAAGCAATACCTTTCTATGCCAATTCTCTTTCCAGTCTGAATAAAATGTCATCAAATACTTTAAATTTAATGAAATATGTGCTTGTTAGAGAAAAAATGGTGGCCTCTATAGCCAAAGGATCCCCAATTATGATTCTGACTAAGATATTTAATGAGGCTGTCATTAGAATGCCTTGTGACTGTAGAAGACTACATAAGCCTAGGAAGGGATAGATATCATATAGTGAGCGCTCATCTAGGTAAAACAAATACAAAGCAGCAGCCAGTTTCATATTGCAGTCAATGGAGTGAGGATGGGAGACAGTGCATGACCTCCCTACAGAGAAATTAGAGTTTCAGATGGAAATATCATTGTGAACGTCCTTACTTCTTGCTATGTAGTTTAAAAATAAGTAAATAAGTAGCACAGCTGAAAATATACAGACAAAAATGTAGCATTTTAGTGCTAGAACCATCAACAACTTGCACAGAGAAAATCCTGTAACACACAAATGTTTGACAATTTAAAAACAGTGTTTTCATGCGATGAATGGCGATACACTCACACTCACACACACACACACACACACACACACAATTTACTTGAATCTAAGGCGACCCTGAACTTCAGATGCTCTCCCAATAATTAGATGCTAGACATGGAAAATTCATAAATTTATTTCAATTTTCCATGTATCAAATCTAATTATTGAAGGGTCATCTTTAATTCATCCCTCCTGCTACTGCAGTGGGCCAGGCAGTGCAGAGGTAGGTGGTTGTGGGAATGCCTGCCCCCCACCCCCCCAGCAGCCTCTGCTTCCCTCTCCCTGCCCCTCCCCCCCACCCCCCAACTCTACAGCAGGCTCTGC